CGCCTCTGTCAGAGTGCAGACACAGAACAGGAAAGTCCGAGCCGAAACTCTCTCTGAGCTGGAGACGAGTTGCGCGGATCCAGTCGATCAACACCTCAGTGACGTCACCCTTGCTGCGCAAGGGGAACACCGTGGTGTAACGCGAGTAGTCGTCAACCACCAACAGGAAGTAACGCTCGTGACCCTGGCCACGGACGCGGGCGGGGCCACACACGTCCATGTGAAGAGTCTGCAAGGGAGCCTCTGTCGGAGGAAACTCGGAGGAGTGAGGGGCGGCGCGCTGCCGCCCCTCGACGCAGGGGACGCAGGTAGGGGCAGGCCCCGGAGGTAGGGGAGGGAGGGACCGGGGGAGACCAGAGACAAGGACACGTGAGGCCATGCCTCGGAGACGAGGCAGGGAGGGGTGACCAAGGCGGTGGTGCCAAAGGAGAGTCTGGTGGGACAGGAGACGACACGAGCAGGGCGCAGACTCAGGACCAGACCTGGACGCTGCAGCAAACACCTGACTCGACGCAGCTACCTGACCAGACTCAGCAACAGGAGGAGACTCAGTGGTCAGTGTGTACAGGCTCGACCCCGGCTGACGGGTAAACGTGGCCAAGTGTCGGCCCGTCCGAGCACACGTACAGTGGGTCACCCTCTGACTCGCAGGCGTGAACTGGTCAACCCTCCGATCCTGTAGATCAGCTCCACTCACCAAGTTCGTAGAGAATGAGGGGAGGTAGAGACCGGACAGGGTGCCAGAGGGGGCTGCCAGGCACGGTAAGACAGTGGAGAAGCTAGCAAGGACAGGACCCCCAGAGGGGTCCGCCAGGGAGACTGCAACCGGCCGACTAAGCGGCGTAAGTGTGGTGCGGTCTCGAAAGAAGGAACGGGAAGCACCCGAGTCAAGGGTGAAGGTGTGTAAGGCCTGAGCCGACGTGGTACCTGAGAGAGCAGACTCACCAGCACCTGGAGCAGCAGACGCACTAGCACCTAGAGCAGCAGCCTCACCAGCACTTAGAGCAGCAGCCTCAATGCCCGGGTCAGGCGGAACACACAGGTAACAGTCACCCTCAGCACTATCAGACACAGCATACATGGCAGCAAGAATAGCATCATAATCAAGATCAAAGATAACAACCCCCGCCCTAGACAGCTCTCCCCAGCGGGGGATCTCAGAGGCCTCAGGGAACTGGTGACGCTACGCGTCCGTCAGGCGGCCGAAGCAGCGCTGGGTGGAGCGCGGGCCCCCGCACTGCTCACCAGCACGGTCGCCGGTACGGAGGACGTAGGTGCAGGGACCAGTACCCCCACCGCGCTGACGCGCAGCGTACCACTCACGAAGCTGCTGAGGGGACAGGGTCTCACGACTGCGCTGCTGCTGCTGGCGCGGACCACCACCGGACCCACTCCTCTGTGCAGGGCCGCGACCAGCTCCACCGCTGCCGCCGCCGCCTCCGCCACCTCCGCCGCCTCCGCCACCTCCGCCGCCTCCGCCACCTCCGCCGCCTCCGCCACCTCCGCCGCCTCCGCTCCCTCCGCCACCGCCGCCGCCTCCTCCGCCTCCACTGCTGCCACCGACACCTCCACCCCCGCCACCACTCCCACCACCACCCCCACCCCCTCCACTGCCTCCACCACCACCTCCACCGCCCCCGCCAGCCCCTCCAGCGCCCTTGCCCCCCTTGCCCTTACCGGTGCGGCGTCTCCCGCTAGGGGCAGACGCAGCGCCGACCGACTCGAAACCAACGAGGTCGGCCGCAGCAGCAGAAGCAACAGAGGGCAAGAGGGGGGAGGGGGAACACCCCTCAAAGACGGGGGAGCGAGGGTCACCACGAGAGGCTCCTACAGCGACTATGCTCTTCTCTGCTGCTAGGAGGCGCTCCTCGAGGAGGTCAACGGTGAGTGTGGTGGGGCAAACTGAGAGGAAGTGGTCCCTGACTAAGCGAAGGGAGTCAGGGAGCCGGGTGACTATGTAGTAGAGGGTGATGTACATGGGGGGGGGGGTTCTTGGCACAGAACTCAGCAGGAAGCGCAGCGCGGTAGCGAGTGTCACTAGTGCGGAGGTGCGTAATGAGGTCAGCGACTGTGGGAAAGGCAGCAAGGTCAGGGAAGAGGTACGGTAGCATGAGGCGGCTCAGTGCAGCAGTGGCAGGGGAAGAGTAGCGTGCAACTACAGCGTCGTACAAGGTCTTAGCACTCTTGTACTGGCTAAAGTGCGCACGCTCAGTGGTCGGTAAGTGGCGACGCACAGCAAGACGGGCAGCAGCATCGCGTGTGGCCCACTGTGAGCGAACAGTGCTGTCAGCAGTAGCAGGCGGGGCAGGGGAGGCTCCAGAGGTGAGATCGAACAGGGAGAGTTCGTCTGCCCTATCGCACTGTAGGAACAGCTGGAGGTCATCGACCCAGACCTCAAAGTCAACAGCACGACCCTCAGTATCAAAGGTAAGAACACTGGGGGTAGCCATGACTGCAGTGGCCTAACAGGGAGTGATCTCACCAGTCCGAGGAAGTAGGGCCGGGGCGCGCCGGTAGGAACAGTAGCGGCTCGATGGCAGGGCGGCTCGGCGGCTCGGCTGCTGGGCGGCTCGGCGGCTCGGCGGCTCGGCTGCTGGGCGGCTCGGCTGTCGGGCGGCTCGGCTGTCGGGCGGCTCGGCTGTCGGGCGGCTCGGCGGCTCGGCTGTTGGGCGGCTCGGCTGTCGGGCGGCTCGGCGGCTCGGTTGCTGGGCGGCTCGGCGGCTGGGCGGCTCGGCTGCTGGGTGGCTCGGCGGCTCTGCTGCTGGGCGGCTCAGCTGCTGGGCCGCTCGGTAGAGGCGGCGTTGGGGCCGCTAGGGGCGGCGACGGGGCCGCTGAGGGAGGGGAGCGGCGACGGGGCCGCTAGGGGCGGCGACGGGGCCGCGTAGGGAGGGGAGCGGCGACGAGGCCGCTAGGGGCGGCTACGGGGTCCCGTAGAGGCGGCGACGGGGCCGTTAGGGGCGGCGACAGGGCCGCGTAGGGGCGGCGACGAGGCCGCTAGGGGCGGCGACGGGGCCGCGTAGGGTGAGAGGCGGCGACGGGGCCGCTAGGGGCTGCGACGGGGCCGCTAGGGGTGGCAACGGGGCCGTGTAGGGGCGGCGATGGGGCCGCTAGGGGCGGCGTCGGGGCCGCGTAGGGGCGGCGACGGGGCCGCTTAGGGTGAGAGGCGGCGACGGGGCCGCTAGGGGCGGCGACGGGGCCGCTAGGGGCGGCGACGGGGCCGCGTAGGGGCGGCGACGGGGCCGCGTAGGGTGAGAGGCGGCGACGGGGCCGCTAGGGGCGGCGACGGGGCCGCTAGGGGCGGCGACGGGGCCGCGTAGGGGCGGCGTCGGGACCGCGTAGGGGCGGCGACGGGGCCGCGTAGGGTGAGAGGCGGTGACGGGGCCGCTAGGGGGCGGCGACGGGGCCGCTAGGGGCGGCGACGGGGCCGCGTAGGGGCGGCGACGAGGCCGCTAGGGGCCACTAGGGGCCTGGAAGGGCGGCGAACAAGGCGCGCCTCGGGCAGGAGCGACTGACGCTCCGGTCAGAAAAAAAAATTCAGTGGTGGGCCCAAGGAAGCGTTCCCACTAGGGAACCTGCTCTATACCATGTGAAGAATGAGGAATGAATGAACTAGCACAAGGTTGGGTACAAGTAGGAAACCCTAGGAAACTGTACCCCATAGTGTCTACCCCACTATAGCCTAGACAAGCTATAAGATATAAGTTTGACATTAGGACGCCTCAGCTATGTTCAATCCTGGCCCGATCGGGGGTTTTTACCTAGTCAACACACTGATCACACGATTGGCAGGTGTGCGCTGTGCCAACCTGAAATATATGCAATCACTCAAGTCCGACCGAGCCCAGGGTCAAGAGATCATTTGGTGTGCGTTTTGTTGCCATTTGTGTGTTTCGCGTAGTGTCACAAGTCGGTGTGTTTACAGAGGCACATCGATCGCCGAATCGCCGTGGACAGGTTCATGTAAAACATGTCATGTTTAGGACGCGTCACCTCCCTCGATCGATCGTGCAAAATCGAGGAAGATCGATCGTCCACCGCACTAAAAACCCGCGTGTTGCAATTAAATTTGTTTGAAAACTTTTTGAACCGAACTAAAAATCGATCCTGCGCAGGATCGATCGAGGCAGGTGACGCGTCCTTAGGTTTCAGGAACGTGGTGAATTACGATCGATCCTGGTAACGCGTCCTTAGGTTTCAGGAACATGGTGAATTATTATAGAATCGCCACCCTCGAAGAAGACTGGTAACATGGTGAATTACGACATTAAAGTTGTTTAGTCCCCTCGCCAGATAATCCTAGATAGTCAGGATTGAATGTAGGTGACGCGTCCTTAGGTTTCAGGAACACGTGTAGTGATACACCCTGTTTCTCACCATAGTAGAGGTATAGTGGATTCCGGAGTGGAAAGGCAAGGTTGAAGGTGGTTAGATTATGTTTAGGTATGGTTCAATTAGGCAATTTGAACAAGACAAGGTTAGCCAGCCAGTTCCGTACACTTAGTTAGCGAGAAGCAGGGTGTACAGTAATCCTCAGACACTTGGCTGCCTGTTGCGCCGGAACCTACACGCCTAGTAGAGCGTTTAACACGTGGGCATGTGCTTTCCCATGTGCCCTACTGCCAATGCTGCCGTACGTGTGCATGCTTTCCCATGTGCCCAACTGCCAATGCCGCCATAAGTGTTGACTCAACAAACGAAAGAAGACTGTGGGCTACAGTGTATGTAGGACCACATCGCAGTGCAGACTCAACGCGGCCCGCCATCCATGATGGTGACGCACTTTGCGGTCCTGCCAGGCAATCACAGGGTGCTTTCGAGAAAACTTAAAAACAGTCTGAGAGGCTTCACCGATAGTGACGCTTCTTGCAACCCCGACAGCAACCACGCATCCAGTCTCCGCCAGTTTCACGTCCTGCAACGTCTTCCGGAAACACCCGTGCAGAACGGGACTCCTCAGTGGAAATTAGCTTCCGAGTCGTTTGAGTCTTCTAAAGCCTTCTATGGTGTCTGTCTCTGCCTCCGCCGAAGGCCATCTGCTCCCGGGCCTTCCCCATGACCTCGCGCTCGCCTGTATGTCGCGACTCGCGCTCTGGGACTTGCCCGCCGCTCGCTGCGTGTCGCGCGGCTGGGCGGCTGCGATCCGCAGCGCGTCGTTCGGTCGCCTGCGACGACGCGTTCGCGCGGAAGAAGGGGGAGGGAGGGGTGCGGGGCGAGGGGAGTGGTTGCGCCACCGTTGGGCGGAAGGGAGGGGGAAGGGGGTGGGGGAGGGGAAGGGAATGGGGAAGGCGTTGGGGGAAGACGAGGGGGAGTTTCATTCAATGCCCAACAGTCTCTTGAGTGACTCGGAGAAACGCCTACCACCGATGCCCTTGGGATCTCATCTCCCAGGCCCAGCGGGTGTGAAGGAGGGCCACTGTGAGAGCCCGGGTGCGGCTGCACTGTTGGTGGCGTGTGTGGGTGGCAGCGGTGGCGAGGGTTCAGGCAGGCAGCGACTGCAGTGGTTCGCCTGCTGCACCTGCGAAGCCTGCTACCCCAGCAGAACAGGCCACCCGTGCGCCCCTTGCGACCCATTTGATCCCTGCCAACCCTGCGACAGGTACGGGTCATCGCCGGACCTCTGTGGATTCTGCACGCCCAACGCATTCCCCAGGTGGCGCCGCCTGCCTCCGCTTCCCCCCACCAACCCCCACTCCGACCCAGCCTGTTACGGCGCCGTCGCCGCTGCGGTTCCCGGAACCGGGATTGCGATCGTGGGCGGCGCGCTGCCTTCCCAGTCAGGCAGGCCGCAGCACGTGCGCCACGTGTCAGTGTTTGATTGGCACATGGGCGCGTGGTTTGATGTGCAGCAGCCGTGCTTGCTGCCCAGGTTGGACCCCGTGGTGGCTGCAATGGGTGCAATGAGTGGGGGGGGAAGGGATTGCCTCGTGGTTGTTGGAGGGTGTGCTGTTCCGTCATTCCCGCGCGCGAGCGCTGCTGGTTCATGTGGTAGAGTTGCTGTTTCCGCTTCAGAAACAGGGGTCGCTGAGAAACATCCTGTTTGTTCACGTTCTGGGGGTTCTCCTAAGTCGCCACGTGTTACTGGCAAGGTTTTTCCCAGCAACCACTCACGCCACCCATTCCTGGGAATGTGCACGATGTGCATTGACATACCAATGGACGGTTTTGGTGCCGACGAATGTGACAGCGACAAGGGCAGATGCGGTTCTAGTAACAAGAGCACCAGCAACAACAGTCGTGGCAGCAGTGGCAGCACGAGCGACTTGCTGAGTGGGTGTGCCTTGACCCAAGGCGGCGGCAGCAGCAGCAGCAGCGGCACACAGCAGTACTACCAGTTCCCAAGGCTCGACTCGCTCGTGCTTGGAGGGCGGGTGTTTGTGCGACGACACATCTCGCGGCCCTGCTTTGGTCTCAACCCGGGGGGCTTCATTCCCCACGCACCCAGACCAACTCCAGCTGCGTACACTGCCCATGGCCCTGGTAATCAGGTTACAGGCACTGGCGGCAGTAATTCTGGCAGTGGTAATGGCAGTGGGATCAACAGCAGCGGCAGCTACAGCAGTAGCAGCATGGTGTCAGAGGCAGGTGTGCTGGAGGTTGACTGGGGGAGCGCTGAGATGTGGAGGGTAGTGGAGGAGTCTGATGCCATCCATGCCATTTGGACCAGAACACATGTAGCACAAGTGATTGTAGAGGATGTGACTGGAGCAGGTGATGTGACTGTACCAGGTGTGACTGGGTCGGATGTGACTGCAAGGCCAGCTGCAGAAGAAGACTCAACGGAACCACACAGCAGCACAGCGTGCCAGGCATCACGGCTTGAGATGCTTCCACCACCACCAGTCGCCCACAGCAGCAGGGCAACTGTGCATGCCACACATGCCACACATGCCACACATGCCACACATGCCACACATGCCACACATGCCACACCCTCCACCTACTCTGTGCTCTGCTCCCTCGACCCCTCCCTCTCTCTCCTCGTCTTCAACCACCTGCACCGCAAATGGGTCCCTGCTGGCCCTCGCCTTTCCTCTCCCTCCCCTCCTCGTCCTCCTCTTCCTCACAAGTCCCCTCACATCCTCTACCCCTGTGGCAGGGGCTCGCATGGGGGATATTATTCCACGCCACCCTGCCCTCCCATGCCATCCTGCCCACCCATGCCACCCTCCCCACTCGTGCCACCCTGCTCGCCTGTGCCCCCCTGCGCACCCTCTGCGCCGTTCAGCTCGCATGCTGCCACACGCAACCCACACCTACCAAGCTGTGCCAGCAATGCAGCTTCCAGTCTCGTTGCTGCTTCCAATGCTGCTGCTGATGCTACCTCTGCCTTTGCTGCTGCTGCCAATTCAGGCAGTGCTGCCAGTTCTGCCGGTACTGCCAATTTGGGAAGGCTGAGGCAGCTTGTGGGGTGTGGCAGCAGGCTCTTGGCTCTCTTCCAGCCACACGACCCGCGCAACCCGCACGACCCAGGGGTGATGCGAGAAATCCTCCTCCCGGACCTCCATGCTCTCTCCTCTCTCTCCGCCCTGCTCCCTCACACCTCCTCGTCCTTCCCTCACCTCCCCTCGCTCCCCTCTCTTCAGCCTTCTCCCTTCGCCCTCTCACAGCTCCCCCACACTGTCGGCCCCGCACCACTGCAGGCACAGGCTTCAGAAAGTGTGTCGATAGCAGCAGCGGGAGGGTTGATGCGGCTGGTAAGTAGTGGTAACGTGGAGAGCCAGATTGGCTGGGCAATGGGGGCTCCAGTGGCCTTGCCTGGGAATGGAAGGTTGCATCACGTGCTTTCTGTTGCCATCTAGTGGAATGTTTAGGGTTTGACATACATACCAGGTTATTGAAGTGGGACACTGCTGATTTCCTCAGAAGGCTCAGTTTCTGAACGCTCAAAATTATTCGTATAGGCAAAAACCTGTGCTAGAGAGGCAGCAGAGAGGCAGTGAGGTAGAGAGAGCACCAGAGAAGCCCTTCCAGCTTCACCTTCCACCTCAGGTCCTTGAGGTGAATCTCTGCTATTCGTGCACACAAGCTCACCTGTAGCAGCTGTTGGAGCTCACCTACCGTATGATGTGACCACACCCGCATGGCCGAACCCGCATGTCCGAACCCGCATGGCTGAACCCGCATGGTTGAACCTGTCAAGATAGCAAGCAGGAATGAACAGCAGAAGAGAGGGTTGCACTAGCAGCAGATAGGATACATATTGCAAACCCTAATTTGGGCTGTACTCACTATAGATTACCCCACTGCAGACTAGACAATTATAGCATTCTGACACACCCCCATAGTCAAAGTGGGGTATGATCAGCACAGCAAACAGTCGCATAAGAAGTTCATAAGCACAAGCAAAACTAGAGGCAGTCACAGAGGGCAAGTGAGGAGGAGGAGGGACTGTGAGAGGAGTGGAGAAAGGAGGCGACGTGTGAAGCCGCAGACACACGGGCAACAGGAGCGGTGCGCACGAGCTACCGGACACAAGCAAGGGTATCCGGACTACTGAAGTCACTGGCTCCGCGGCTAAGACGAGCGGCTGGAGCAACGGATCCATGGGCGACTTGCGCAGCAGGCTCGCTGGGCTACCGGAGCAAGGGTGACCCCCGGACTACTGGCGCTGCTGGCGTCACGACGGCTACCTCCGTTCAACCTCCCCCAACTGTCCCACACCCCTTTCACACACCCCTTGCTGCACCCCTAGCTCCACTCCCACGACACCCCCCTAGCGCCACTCCCTCGGCTCCCACACACCCACCCCCCTCAACGGCAGCTGCAACAGTGGGAGACGGATGAGGAGGAAGAGAAGGGGGCGGCTCACACATCCGCCACCCCCATACCCACCACCCCCACACCCCCAACGCAGGCAGCGCGCGCGCGGCGCGGGGCAGAAACGCAGGCAGCAGCTGGGGCAGCGTGCGAGCAGAAGCGGGGCGGCACGCGGGTCCCTGGGGCGCCGCGACGGGCGACGAGCAGGGCGGCGCGCGGGCCCCCAGGGCGCCGCGACGGGCGACGGGAGGGAGGGGCGACGCGCGGGCCCCCAGGGCGCCGCGACGGGCGACGGGTAGGGCGACACGCGGGCCCCCGGGGCGCCGCGACGGGCAACGGGAGGGGGCGACGCGCGGGCCCCCGGGACGCCGCGACGGGCGACGGGAGGGGACAACGCGCGGGCCCCCGGGGCGCCGCGACGGGTGACGAAACCGGGGCGCGCGGCGGGCAGGAAACTGCCACGCACCCTGGGTGCGTGGCGGGCAGAAAACCGGCGCGCGCCCCAAGCGCGCGGCGGGAAGAAAAAACGCCATGCGTGCCGGGCGTGCGGCAGGCAGAGAACGTCGCGCGCCCGAGGCGCCCGACAGGCAGGACAGCAGCGGAAGCAGCAGGGTGGGCCCGTCCACAGGATCGACCCGCGAGGGTCGACCTGCTCTGATAGCATGTCAAGATAGCAAGCAGGAATGAACAGCAGAAGAGAGGGTTGCACTAGCAGCAGATAGGATACATATAGCAAACCCTAATTTGGGCTGTACTCACTATAGCGTACCCCACTGCAGACTAGACAATTATAGCATTCTGACAGAACCCGCATATCCGAACCCGCATGTTCGAACCCGCACGACCAAACCTCCGAACCCGTGTGACCCAAGCCCGCATGGCCGAAGCTGTTGGACCGAACCTCCATACCCCACTTGCACATTTGCGTACCTTGAGCAGCAGCTAGTGCATGATGGGCCCGTCACAGTTGATATAGCCCACGTCAGCTTGCGGCATGCGACAGGGCCGAACCTGTTGGACCGAACCTGTTAGCTCGGATCTGCAAGAACATACCTGCAGCAGCAGCTGGTGCATGACAGGCCCGTAATAGTTGATGTAGTCCACGTCAGCATGGGGCATATCTGCATGTGTGCAGCAGGCGCAGTGCATGCTCCATTACCACTGCGACCTGAGAAACGACATGGAGAAAGGTGATTAGAGAGAAAGGGGTCGATACATACGAACGATGCTGTCGCATGGAGGGTTGGGTGCAAGGAATGAGACCATAGGGTTTGCTTTAAAGTGAGGAGGCGAGGAATGAGAGTGTGGGGCGCGGAGTGAAGTGTGAAGCAATTATTAAGGGCGTGAGGCGCGGAATGGGTGTGTGAGGCGGGGAACAGGTGTGTTAGGCGGGGAACGGGTGTGTGAGGTGAGGAATGGGTGTGTGAGGCGGGGAACGGGTGTGTGAGGCGGGGAACGGGTGTGTGAGGCTTCTCCCTTCCACCATTTCGTCCCTGCGGATTCTCAAGATCGAAGGGTGGTGCAAGAGAGTCTCAGTGGCACCAGCAGCATCATCTGAGTTTTCCCTAAGGTTGTATTGTCTGAGCTGGCCTTTTGTGGCAACAATAGGTGAGCGGGCGAGTCAGTGGTTGAGTGAGAGAGAGAGAGAGAGAGAGAGAGAGAGAGAGAGAGAGAGAGAGAGAGAGAGAGAGAGAGAGAGAGAGAGAGAGAGAGGGAGAGAGAGAGAGAGGGAGAGAGAGAGAGAGAGAGAGAGAGAGAGAGAGAGAGAGAGAGAGAGAGAGAGAGAGAGAGAGAGAGAGAGAGTTTGTGAGTGGTGAACCTTTGTGGTCAGTGGTTCAGTTTGTGAGTCAGTGGTTAACTGAGGCTCGATGAATCTGGAATTTTCCTGCGCGGTTGCACCCTCTAGCTCAGAAGGTGATGAATGAGAAACCTAATTAGACGTTTCTTCCCATCCCTTCCATCCTGCTACTCAGAGGTTCAATGAATGTGGACTTCTCGTGTGCATCTGCACCTTCCAGGTCAAAAAGAGGAGGTGGTGGTAACGGCAGGGGTGGTGGCGATGGCGGTGATGATGATGCATGTGATGATGAGGATGAGGATAAGGATAGAGTTGAGAGGGGGGATGATGGGGATGATTATGGCAAAGAGGGGAGCGAGAGAGATTATAAGCAGAGGAAGGAAGGGCATAATGATAAAGATGACAATGATAGAGATGGTAATTGTAGAGATGATGAAGATTATGACACAAATGAGGATGATTTTATGGATGATGGTGATTATGATAGATGATGCGGAAAAAAAAAAAAAACAATTATAGTTTTGGGAGGGTGGATATGATGGTAATGATGATGACGATGTTGCTCATAAGGAGGAAATGGAGGGAGCCAGTAATTGGCATCCACGTCAGCAATCTCTTTTGACAGTTACAGTAGTAATGGCAGTGGCAGCGGCCATGTGGTATATGAGGCATCACCCTTGCCAGAATATGCGTGCTCCATTCGACTTGAAGGAAACAATAAGTGGGGAGAGAAAGAGGGGAGAGAATGAGTGTAGATGGTTTCGATACTAGATATTCAGACTTCAATGCTGCGCAATGCATGTGAGGCAGGCCTTCATATTGGATTCAGGGCATGCTAATGGATGAGTGTGCCCTGCCCAAAATCGTGTCCAAACCAGTGTTGAGGGTTGAGATTGCTGATTTTCTCAGGCTGAATTCGCAAGACTCACTGATGCATCAGTCTAAAAATTGATGGTTCACTAGCTGAGCAGCGCTACTAGCCTAGTTAGTTGAGGTTCGCATGTAATGCAGAAGATTGCGAGTGCTTATGGAGCAACATTAGAAGTGGGGGTAATTTTGCCCAACTCTCGGGCCGAACTCCCCGAGTACACCTGTACTCGAATCAGTGTGGTTCCTGTTACTATACTGATTGATCAGTGTCACTAGTACACCGCTTCACTGATTTGTCAGTGTGAACATGTAACATTAAACTGAAAATTCAGTGCTAAGATAGGCAGGATACTGAAATTTCAGCGAATGGAGAAAAACAACTGCAAAATCAGCCAAATCAACGTGCTTTACGAAGGGGTGATTGAGGGGTGATTGAGGCGCTGATGCCACAGGTCGTCAGACGCGCGTAGTCCGGAAGTGCGCATGTAGCACTCGCGCACCACTTCGGGGTCTTCTTCAACTACTGGAGTGGGTTCTACTGGCACTTCTTCTTCTACCTCGTTCGCCAATATCAGTATTAGTGCAAGAAATCCCCTGTCGAGAATCACGAAAAGGGAAATGTTGGTCCCAAGGGTTGTTTCGGGGACGAAAGTGGGCTCGCGCGGCTCGGGGTCAGGTCCGTAGACTGTGCGACGTGGGGTTGAGGGCTCATTGCCCCAGACGATGGTGTCCCAGGGGTCGCCATGCGGTGGAATGTTGGCATGGGGAGGCGTAGGTGCAAGAAGGCGTGGAGGGCGGCCGAGAGGAACAACAAGAGGTTTGGTTTCTTCAATCTCTTCCGTTCTCCCCCTTTGTTCTTCTCGTCCACCGCCCCAACCTTTTCCAGAGCTGCCCCATCCGCTGCTGGTGCCACTAGCGTTGCCCCAGCCTCCGCCTGTGTTGGCCCCAGTACCTCTAGTGTTGCCCCATGAACTGCCGCCGCTTCCCCAACCGTTGCTGCGCTTTCTTCTTTGGCGCCCCATGCGCTGCACGCAAAAGTCCCGGCAGCCTCGGCAATTCTCTTCGGGTAAAGCTCTTCCGCTTCGCATTGCGCCAATGCCTCCTCTTGCACAATCGTTAGCTTCTTCTTAGAGTCGCACAAGTGAGGGGTATACCTTCATGAATTCCTCCTTTGTGTTTAGGCGCGCCGCGACAACGTCCGCATAGGATCCCTTCAAGCCGCTCTATAGCTGTGCCAGGGAGGGGATCTACTGGAATGCTGAAAACGTTGCGCGTCGCAACCTCTGCTCCAGCACCGACATTTCTTCGTTTGGCGGTGTGAATCGTTCTACTTCGGCTTTGGCGGCGAGTCCTCTTCCTCCGATCGCGTTTGTC